CGGCGTTGTGCTTTTCCAGCCAGCCCAAGCACGCTGAAAACCCTCCGCACGGCGGCGAGTCTGGGTGTGAGCAGAGAGGCTTTGAGCTGCTCCTCTCTTATCTCGCACCAAAGCCGCAGCCACGTTCACAGACCAGGCGCTCCCCCACCTTTCTCCTCCTGGAGCCTGCGTGGGAAGATCCCGCAGAATGGCCGGAGGCGAGGGAGGATCTCCCATGCCCTTCTCCTTCCAGCGCCGTGGCTGAAGGACTCACCTGGGATGAGAAAGAGGGTTCAGCTCAAATCCCCTCCCTATTTGCTCCTCCACGGCATGCCCTTGCCACTAGTTAGCTGGAAGGGATTAGCTCAAGCAATTGTTCCTGGGGACACACTGCAGGGCCTGGAACACCAGCCCTGAGAAGTTAAAAGTGCTTCATCATAATAAATATATATAAAGCACACATCCCTATGCAGGCATAGCGAATAGCCACATGAATGCGTGTGGCTGTATATATATGCATATCTAAACCCAACAAGCATGTTTGCCATGCTCATTTCACATGTTTTCATGCTCTGAGTCGATTTAAAATCCAGCTGATGTGACAAAAATAAAGGCCACTGAGGCCAGATGACATTCCACTACCAAAGAAGAAAGGTGTGATGCCCCTGCTCTGAGTAAGGGAAAATAAGGGGTCTTGGGAGCAAATAGGAAGGATGAAGAGCCTCCTCGTGCTGGCCAAGGCCTTGGGCTCGGTGCAGCAGCCAAGCGCTTTGAGCTGGAGCTGCTCTTTCTAGAGGTTTTCCTCCCGTGAGGGTGCTGGAAGGCTGAGGAAGGCACAGTCACAGCACTTCCAGCTCTGCTGTCCTGCATAACCCGTGCCAGAGCTTGGTGTGCCCTGCTGATGTCTTAGGGACAGAAGTTTCACTCTGTTTGCTCTCCTTGTAGAGCAAAACTCATTTCTCTTTGTCTCAGATGCACCAAGGCCAGAGGTGTGCTGGGCTCTGTGAGGAGACGGCAGCAGCCTCGGGTCAGCTGGGAATGCCATAGAAAAGCTTTGAGGTCCCCAGAGGATCTGCTGGTGTGGATTCCCATCTCTAACATGGGCTTCCTGCAGGAGGACGGGACACAGCAGCACCGAGTAGAGGTCCTTTTCCAGTTACAAGCTGACTGTGACCCCCTTGGGTTTAGACCCCCCAAGAAAAGGCATGGGAGGCTCCAAGGGAGCTGGGTACTATCCCCACCACTCTGACCCAAGTCTCCCTTCCCCCAGAGCAGGAGAAAGCCTGAATTTCTCACTCCCTTCATTCTCTTGGAAGGAGAAAAATACACAGAGAAATCAAGCAGGGGATACTGTGGCTCCTGGCTTGGGAGTTTTCAGCTGTGTGTTTATCAGCTTCATCCCCTGATGGTATCAGCATGAACAGGCCACCCACAGAAGGCTTAGCAGGCTGGTCTGGACTCCAGCTTTTTCTCCCGGTCTCCGGGTGTGTGTATACACACCACCAACCATCCCAGGGACCAGCCGTCTGGGGCCTGCATCCATTTATTTACTACACAGCTGATGTAATGGCTAAACAGTTTTTTTCTGTGTTTATGGGGTGTGTTTTTTTAATCTGCCGGAGATGAATCGACCCCTCGAGAAGTCAGCTCGGTCGTGTCCCTTCTTGGATAGGAAACAACAACTTTTAGGACAGGAAATGGGAACAACTTAAACAAATGGCTTTAGGGGTTTTGTATTTAAGTTCCCCCGGCAGTTCCAGGAGATGCTTTTCTCTCTGACTTTAATGCCTTGGGCAGGGGATGGTGCAGGCTATAGGACAAACCCTACCAGCCTCCAGGACAGAGCTCTAACCACCCGCTTTCTTCCTGCACCCCAACAGGCACGTCAGAGCTGAGCCCCTTCTCTGACCCCCGGCAGTTCGACCGCTCCTTCCCGACGCTGCCGGCTCTCACCGAGACCAGGTTCTCCGACCCGCGGATGCATTATCCCGGGGCAATGTCTGCCGCCTTCCCCTACACCGCGACTCCCTCCGCCACCGGCATCGGGGGCATCAGCATGACCAGCATGCCCACCACAACGCGCTTCCACCACACTTACCTGCCACCCCCCTACCCCGGCTCCACACAGAACCAAAGTGGACCCTTCCAGGCCAACCCCTCTCCGTACCATTTGTACTACGGCACGTCTTCGGGCTCCTACCAGTTCTCCATGGTGGCGGGCGGCGAGCGGTCGCCCACCCGGATGCTCTCTTCTTGTACAAGTGCTTCAGCAGGGAACAACTTAATGAATCCCAACCTGGGCAATCAGAATGATGGGGTGGATGCAGATGGGAGCCACAGTAACTCACCGACAACCATGACAACTACTGGGAGGATGGATGAGTCGGTCTGGAGACCCTATTAGGAGGAACTCAGCTGGACACCGATACCTTTAACTTAATCAGCCACCGTTACATTACTCCCTTTGGTAATGAACAGAGCAAAATGATATCTAGGGAGAAGGTAAACCAAAGTGTCCCAAACCAAAAGCAAACCAGGATCTCTGCATGCAAGCATAGGCAAACATCAAGCGAAGAGGGACCAGGACGTACATTACATTTCAAGACGAACATCCACTTGAGGCTTGAATTCATTGCTTGATGTGGTTCTTTTCGTATGTTTTAAGTGTGTGGATTGTACATAGGGGAAAAAAAAAGTAAAGGACGTGTGGAATCAGATGTTTGTCTCTTGCAGAACACTCCTCAATCATCTCACTCACACCTCTTCCCCACACAAAGCATTCACAAGTTAGGAAAAGCTCATCCTTCTTCTGCAGAGCGTTTCAGAGAAGAGAGCAGGGAGTCGACCAAAGCCATCCCTCTGCCAACGCAGGGAGACTGAACTGAAAAGAAAGAGGAAAAACCCAAAAGGATAACCCCTACTGTGTCCTCCCCTTCCCTCCCACCAGCGCAGGGCCCCGACCACCAAAGAGCTGCGGGTGCCGCGAGAGGGTCGGGTTTGCAGCACCGCTGCGGGTCAGCCACGTGAAGGAGAGCTGTGATGTGATTGTTGTGACTTGCTGTTGACGACAGAGGTTGTATTGTTCTTTTTTGTCATTGTCGTCACTTCTAACCAGTAACGTGGCTGATCCGGGCCTGGCTGAGCCCTTGCCTCGATGTTTACATGAGATGTACTTTTCACGAGACGTGTTTCAGTTTTTGTTTGCTCTCCCATCCTGACCTCACCATTCAGCTCTTTGCTCCCCTTAGCAGATCTCAGTGATGGTGGCTGCGGTGAAGGTGGCATTCAGGACAATCCAAGATGTGTGAGATGCACTTCCAAGTGCATTAGCTGCAGAAGGGACTTGGGAGCCTTTGGCATGACCCTGCCACTGGTCTCTGGGTCTTCCTTTCATTCTCTCTGAGGGGCAGCACATGCAGCTGGTGGCAAAGCACCATATTTCTGTGATGATTCTTGTCCGTGTTTTCACCCAGAGCGGATGGACACATGATGACTTTGTTTTTGTTAAGAAGCGACTTAACACTTGTCAGTTCATACTGAAAGCTCTAACTGAGATTTGGAGAAAGGAGCAATTTCTACTCAGTCCCTTGGTGGTGGGAATATTGTGAAGCAATATTATCTATCTAGCCTTTTCCAGTCCCTCACTCTCCAGTCCCCCGAGTGACCCTGAGCACGGGTGTCTTGCTGTGGATGAATAAGCTGAAGAGGGGGCACTAAGGGTGCCACCAGCCTCTTGGTAGCTGGTCGCATCATGTGGCATTAGGAGGAATCAGGTCTCCAGGCACCTCACACCCTTGTGTGATACCAAAGAGATGGGAACCCAAGCAGGACAGTGGCAGAAGGTGGCAGGCAGCTGGAGAGGTGGCAGGGCTGAGGTTCCCATGGAGCACGTATCTGTGGTACCCACTGCCCTCCAGCACCAGAAGGGGACACAGATGGCCCCAGTGCCACCAGTAACCAAATTTTTGTGTGTTTTTTTCTGAGCATAAGAAAGCTGAAGCTCAGAGCTGCCCTCCCGGCCCCTCTGTCTCAGTTACACCATTACAGCCCATCACCAAATCTCAGTTGGCAGCTTGTCAGCACTCAGTTGAGGTACAGAGCGTTGCAATTGCACTACCCCGTCAAGACTGGAGCAAGACATCCTGGCTTAGTTGGAGAGATGCAATGACCACTCATGAGTTAAATAAGCAACAAGAAGAACAACTCTTTTAAATAACAATGAAACTAAAAAGCCCTACCCCAGCCAAACTGCAACCTTCACTTGCCAGCGGTGGAAACTGGACCATGGCAGCCTGTGTTCTGATGCATTTACGTTTAGCATCCGATCGCACCACTGATTGAAAGCACAAAGAAACCAAGGCATTCGTAGTACTAGGTTAATTTAAGACTGTTCGTAGTGAGTTGAAAGAATAAAATAATAAAAAGAATGGCAATGATGTTGTTGTTCTGACATATTGTCATGTGAAGGTGTCGATGTGTGCACCTCTATTGTATGCAAGTGGCCACAAGACAGGCCAAAGGTTTTTGCTTTGCACTATAATTTGCTTTTTTAAAAAATGCACAATCGCTTGTACAGTAAAACCCCTTTGTCTGGCTCACAGAATATTTAACTATAAAATCTAATTTTTGGTCTTATTTGTTATAATAATATAATTCTTAAATGTGTTGAAGGATCCGATTCTTAATAATGCTTCTAATACTTGTATGTGCAGGGTAAAATAACAGCAGACAGCTAAGGAGATCAGAACAAAGGTCTTTGTAGATAAAGAAGGCTAAAGTTGTTGGGTTTTTTAATGGTGTCTTATGATGGACATTAAAAAAGTGCTAGTGATACCAAATAATGTGGTTATTTGTGTAATATACCAGCCCTACTTGAAGGTAATGCCCTATATTTAATATGTAGCCCGTCTTTTTAACCTGTAGCACTTGTCACTGGGGATGGGGGAGGCAGGGAAGGAGGAAGAGGAAGAGGAGGGTCTGCTCCTGTTGAAGTCACTGGCAGAAGCTCTCTCTGGAGGAGCCTCTGCTGTGCTGACTTCAGTGAGAACAGAGCCAGCTCCTCGGGGAGCGCTGGTACGAAGCCATAGCAAAGTGGTCAGTTCTGCTTTTCTGCTATTGGTGTCGATGTTCTTACCCAGTGTATGTGGTTGTAGCATCAGGCCTCCGTGTAATCATTTTAGTGACTTTCCATGTGGAATAATAAACGTACGGTTTCAAGTCTCGCTGGTGCCTTCTGCCTGCTCACTTTACACGGTGCAGGGGGAGGCTCCTCGCGCTGCTCTTGCTCCAGGGTCTGAGGGTGGCACCTCTGTGAGCGCCCCACTGCCCGGCTCCGTGTCTGGGGGGTGCCGGCTGCTGCCGGGGTTCACAGTGAGCCAATGGGGGGACCCAGGCTCCAAGCTGTGAGCCAACTCCTTTAGGTTTCTCCAAGGAGGGGTCAAGGCCACTGCCCCGCACTGGGTGACCCCTGCATCCCCAGCCCAGCATCCCACACCCCGGCTGCTGCCTGTCATCACTGCGCTGCTTCCCAAGACACAAAAACTCCAGCAGAAATCTTAACCAGGACCCAGACTCCCAGGCGCTCCAAGGCAAACCTCTTAGCACTCAGCACTCACCCCCAGAACCCAACTGAGACCTGTAAAGCAAAAACTTAAAGGAAATCCCAGCCTACAGTAGCACACAATGCCAGCCTCTGCTTTGCAGCAGCTCCATGAGTGTAGCCCACAATGCCAGCCTCTGCTTTGCAGCAGCTCCATGAGTGTAGCCCACAGCAGTGTCCTCACAGAAACAGGGAAAAAGAAAGGGAAAAAACCAAAGGAAAAGCCCAAACACAGCCACAGTAATTGCTAATATGGATGAGAACCCAGCTCCACAGCCTGGCCAGCAGAAAGAGGTTTCAAGGCAAACCCTAGACATACCTGCCTCTTCTTCACAGCTACTGGGAGAGCAAACACCCCGAGGTGAAGCTGTTCTGTACAGGAACTTCCCATTCCGAATCCATCTGTTCTTTGCTCGCAGCCTTGTTTAAAGCTGTAATGAAAAGAGAGAAGGAAAAAAGGACAAATATAAAGGGCTTCCACGGAAAAGGGGTGCAACCCCTCTGCAACCTGGTTTTGGTGTTAGTGCTGATGGGAGAGTGAGACTGGGGCTGGACCAGGCTCAGGATGATGCTGAACCAGCTGGCGTGGGGGGACCTGACAGCAGCTAAAATGGACCTGGGAGGTCTAAGGAGTCGATGGTGTTAAATGTGCCCAATGCCTGAGAGCTGGAGGGTGTTACTTTTATATGGGCGTTATTTTTATATAGGCCACCTACTAAGCCCAGCATCCAGCCTGCTGCAGATGCCAGGGCTGCATCTTGCTTGTTTCACACCAATTTAACGAATTTAAAGGGGGAAGCTGGATCCCAGCATGGCAGAGTGGGATGTAGGGTGCAGCCGCCTCTTCCAAAGGCCCCTTGAGCATCCAGAGGGCTCCTGCTGGTCCAGGAAGACACTGGAGAACAAAGCCAAAAGTAATAGCATGGGGCAATCAGAGCAGAAACGTTTGGGGTTTCATTTGCAAATGAAAACTGAAAGGGGGGGAAAACCCTCCCTGGAGCTTGGATGACTTTTTTGAGCATTCAGACATTAAATTGAGTGGAGTTTGGGCTGAAAAATCTCCTAGGAAAAGTGAAGAATGTTTCCTTTGAGAACAAAAGTCTCAGCAAAAATCTTATTATATTCTGTTTCCAGACCAAACTCTAAACCCCAGCCTCTGGTTTAATGACTCTGTTGTTTCCAAACTGCCTGTCTTAATAAATAAACTCTCAGCTTACTTACAAAAAGTCCCTATGCTGCACAGGACATGGGGAAGGAGCCTCCTCTGCTGCTGCAGGGCCCACACCATCTCTTGTCAAAGCCCTTAACGAACCTTGCCCAAATGAGTGATCAGCATCCTTCACACACAATCCAGTTCCTCTGAAATAGTGGAGACAAAGAGCCCTGCGTGGTGCTGAGCACCCCCAAGGACTCCTAAACTGGCAAACAACAACTCCCGTGGACACCCATCACCACCAGCTCCCGCATTGGCATCACATCCCTGGGCATCCATGGGGGTTAATCCTGCTGCCAGGCCATCCTGCTGGAAAGGATGGGTGCTTTGTTGGGAATGGGTTGGTGTTCTGTTTAAAAACAGCCTATTTAGAAGCTACATGGTGGAAAACATGGAAAATTCATTAGGGTGTCTGGGAAAGTGTTAGGTTACACGTCATCCACATCTACTTGCTCAGCGGGACCTCGTGCCTTGGGGGAGATGATAGATATTTATATACATGTATTTTATATATAGGAGTTCTTGGGGTTTTATTTCTCCATTCAATTCCCAGACAGGCACAAAAATGAGCCTTTCCACTTCTCAGAAGCTCTTCCAAAGCAGAGTTGTCCCCCTTCGCCTGCGCTGGGCTCTGCCCCTGCCCA